TACCCGTCCCTTACTATTTTCCATCTAAAATTTAACTTGAACACAGTATGCACCTCAGTTACTTGTGTCCAGGTCTGAAGATGGCACAGATAAATTAGATAATTAGAGAATTATCATGAACTGTAAGAGAGTGTGTCCCGAGCAGGCCAGTGTGTGTGAGATGCAGTCTGTGCTGTGAGGTCGAGTGCAGGGCAGCAGCAGAGCTCAGCTGACAGATTGCTGGCCCTTGCTGTCAGCTCCGTGCAGAACACAAGCCCCGGGGAGCCTGGGAACTCAGCTGGAAGGACAGCGAGCTGGGGAGGAGAAAAAGCTCTTGTATTTTGCTCTGTTTGCCTGGGAGGGAAGACCTGCAAATGAAATAGCAACCGGCTCCTTCATTCCTTCGTTTGAACAAATCTGAAAAAAAAAAGGATCAAAAAATGGCTTGGATAGCAGATACAGCCTTCCACACTGGCTCATCTCATCTACTAAGGGAGGGGAGAGTGGGAAGCACAAACAAGCATCTGGTCTTCCTGATTGTCATCTGACCCATGAATTTAAAACACCGTGAAATTCAGAGGTGGGAGGGTTTCTCCCAGGGAGCTGTACAGCATTCCTGAGAACAAAGAACAGCTCAACACCAAAGTGGCTCACCTGCAGAATTTCTCAGCTATTCATTCCCGAAGGAGGCCTGAACATGACACTTTCTGCACCTTTTCTCCACCATTTGGGATGCCACAGCCCAGAGGCTCAAAGCCCTCTCCCTTAAGTCCATCTTATAAACCCCCTTCCTACCCACCCTGTCATGACTGGCTGCTGTCCTGCTGCCAAGCCTCCTGTGCTGTCAGAGGGGATTTTGATAGCTGTGGGCTGCTGAAGATCCTCAGGGCTCCGAACACCTCCTGCACTCAAAGGCAGCAGTGCTGCTGCGAGGTCAGGCACACACAGCCACACACAGCCCTACAGAAAGGAGTGGGTTTCAGCCAGGGAAAACAAGCTGCTGGAGTGTCCACTTCACGTCTCCAGTGGGCTTCAGCACCCACACTGAGCTGCAGAAAAGAGGGAAGGGGACAGGTGAAGGATGCAGCAGACAGAGGTAGTGCTGCCTGGTCACAGTTAGAGCTGAGTTTTAGATTTACCACACCATGATTAAAACAAACAGCTATTTCAATACATTGAAATCCATTATGGTCCATTTTCAAGCACAATGAAACCTAAGCTGTTGGCCACAGTCATAAGTTGGTGCACAGTCTTGACAGATTACGATAAGCATTCTGTCGAGAGGAAAGGCACACCCCAGAAGCTCTTTGGCCCTTGGCCTTGACACATGGCTGGGGACCACAGACCTGGGGCTCCTGGGCAGGGCTTCCAGCTCCTTTCGTGTTATGTGACAGGCTGCCTTCAGCCATGTGCTCTCAGTCTCCCCATTGCCCTCCATCCTCTGACACCACAGGGATCTGGAGATCCCCAGTGCTTCTAACAGCTGCCCATTCATCATGGATGAACACTGTTACTGTCATGAGAGGCTCTGGCTCTCACTGCTCATCAAACATGTGAAGCTGAGGAGGATCATGCCCTGGCAAAGCAGTAAATGTGTTAGAAGGAAAGAGATTGAGACCCAGCCAGAGGATATCTCACAGTGTGCTGCAGACCAGCTGCTTTTTTTGGCAAATGATAACTGGGATAAACCCTTAGAAACTGTAGCATCACAGAGAAGATCCAAGGGGGAGTCAGAACCTAGATAAATCAGGCTTACATTAAGCAGACTGACCCCCAAACATAGGCAAATTAAGCTCTTGCAGAGAGCTGGGGACTACCTATGCCAGTTTTGGAAAGCCAGATACTTTTGGCAGATGTAGCCTGACTCTGGTTCCAGAAACAAGAGCTGTAATACTTTGTGGTGTGTCTAAAGTGGTGCTGCAAAGCCTGAACTGATTCCAATGATGAATTAATTTCTCTCCCATCACCAAAGGACTGACAAAAATTATCAGCTCAGAACACACAGGTAGGTAACTCTCAGTATAGAGTTACTGAAAAGTAGGAAACAAAACCAAAACCAACAATCATATTACAGGCAAATAAGAAATAAAAGCCTAGTAGGAGAATGTCATGTACTAGAAGTGGATTCAACAGAAACTGGAGATCTGCAATCTAGCTCCAGTCATGATACTGAAGTTTTCTTTGAAAAGATGTTGTAATCAGATGTAAAATCACATGGGTCGCTCCTCTGTCCTCCCCATGGCAGATAAGCAATCAAAATAAACACATTTATATGAGCAATCTGTTAATCCTCTGCATAAATAACATTTCCCTATGTAAGTTATATCTGGCTTAGTGCTCCTTGAGCATTGAGAAGCTTAGCAAAGTAGTTCAGTCCTTATCCTATGAGCACAACCACAAAATCCAATCCATGTTTGCATGTCCTAAGGTTACCCAGGAGACAGGGATAAGAGCCATCTTTGGTCTCTCTCTGCACAAAACGGAGCTCCCCAGCCCACCTGAATCTCTGCTTGGTGGTAGAAAGGGGTAGGTGAAGAGAGCCTGGCACAGATTTTCGGGCAGACAAAAGATGCACAATCACTTTTCCTTAGGTTAGCAGGAATATTCATGAGGATTTGTTTCTTTCAAAGCCAAGAAGCTCCTTAGTTTGTTCTTTCAGCACTCTGAGTCTGGAGTGGCAGATCCCTGCACAGCTGCTGGTTAGAGGAGGCTGAAGGCTGGCTCAAGGAAAGCTCGTGCCCTTGAGGCCTCTCTGCTGGCTCAGGGAGGCAGAGCTTTCCTGGGGAAAGGTAAGCAGAAACCTTTCAGAAATGCTGCCAAACCTGAAAGCTCAGGGGATACTTTACAGAGCATACCTGCCGGGCACAAGGTGCTGCTCACGAGTTTGGAAGGTGAATGAAGAGGATGGTCCTGCTGGGATGTGAAGGCATCTGCCCCCAACAGCCTTCCCAAGGGATCTGTGAACTGTGCACCTTGCAACTATGGACCTCCCTGGCTCTTGGCATGGCCTTTCCTACAGGTGCACAGGTTCTGAAACAAAGAGCTTTAAATCTAACAGCAAAAAAAGCTGCTAGACAAACATTCCTAATAAAAATTTTGAGTCAAAATTTGGAACATATAGAGATTTATTCACCATAGACCTGTTCAAAGAAACAACAATTTTATTTTATATATGCTATAACATCTGAGATTTTTTTATAGACAGTCCCAAAAGTTCACCCAGTTTATTGCATCATGGTATAGGTGGTTTGTTTCTTTGAATTACTACCAGGACACCTCATCTATCTTTGTTTAATGGATAACTCGAGTTTTATCCAGCTAAACAGTGCTTTGTTAAATTTGCTGTCCTGGCTAGACAATTACTATTGATTAAGTTTTCTGGGGTTTGCAAGCCTGCAGAGTGGCTCCCTCACTGCACCTGCAATGTATTAATCAAATTTTCAGCAGTGTACAGACCTTTAACTACTTAATTTCCTCATGGTATCTTTCTTGTTCTATAACACCTAATTTATCTCTAGTTATATGATATCAAACAATTCTTTATTAAATTTTGTTCTTCATCTATTGATTAAGTTCTGTAAGGGGCAGGTGTCCATGGGGTTCCTTTCTGCAGGTGCAATGAGCTAATTTCTTAGAGTATTCTACTGACACTCAACTGACACATATCTAAATCAAAACCATCAAAGTAAAACAGTCAAACATTCCTTAAATAAGTAAACATAATTAATTACAAAATTTTTAAAGAATCACAAAAGTCCTGGCTAACTAAGATATAACTCACTGTCAGTTCCTTCTGGATACAGACTTAACCACTGGTTGAATCTGAGGCCATCCAGAAACAAAAAGGTCTTATTTGGAAGCACATTTCTTCTTCCTGACCCTCACACCCTGTTGATCATTTTTGAACTTTGTCTTGGAGGACCCTGGTTTTGCAATGTAAGCTGCAAAGCCCTGGGAGGAAAAGGAGCTACCAGAATATAGAAGTTCTCTGGCATGTGCTCCCTCAAATGCTGAGCTTTCAATTCTGGAAGAGGAATTTGGTGAGTGAGGCTGGTAGAGAAACTGGGGAGAAAAAATAAAAGAGTTTTCCCCTATAAGCCACGCTGTGTGTTAGTAAAGTCATTGCCTCAGGTGTTATCCATAAAGGAGATGAAATCTGATAGTCATGGTGTCCCAATATGAAGTTTAAAAAGCCATCCAGAGTAAGGCTGAATAGCAGCACTCACTGCTGGGGGCAGGGGCGAGGCACAGACCGAGCCTTGGCTGGAAGCACTGGGTGTATCCTATCCCACACAGCCACTGCACAGCACACCCCCTTTCTGAGAGGAACAATCACACAGAAAGCACCAAGCTGGAAAAGGAAGAGCGTAGTGGCTGTGAGAATTCGTCTCCCAAGTTGCATGTGATGCCTCTGAAAGGCTGAATGAGCTTTAATCAGCTGTTTGGTAAATCTGTTCTCCCCTGAGGGCACACTCAGCGGGGTGGCTCTGGCAATTTGGGGCTGCTGTCCTCCCTTCCTGGCTGAGGACCTTATCATCAGCATCTCAGTAGGGAGTGGGTCTTTCTCTGAAGAAAGAAGACTTAGCTTTGATAGTATGGTCTCAACTAATCTTCCTCTGTCAGGCAACAGTTTTTAAACAGCTGCTTTCTTAAATAGCTTTATCTCTTTCATAGTATTATATGTGATATCACATTCATTATGTTTGATATATTATAATATGATAGTATTATCATTGTTTTAAATACAGAAAGGCAGATTATTTTCTAAAGGTCAGAATCTGATACCAAGCTTATCAAAAGGTGTAGTCAAAAGTTTGTCAGATACTATACGTCTGTCACTGATTAAGAAATGGACCTACCAAAGGTAATTGGTGATAAAAGTAATCTTTATTGCAGTCTTATATATGAGGTAACTGAGTCATGGAAAAATTAATTTCCTGCCTTGTTCAGGGTTGTATGGAAAGCCTTGGCCATGGCTAGGAGCAGCTTACTAACCTCCACTCCCAAACCTTTTAGCTGTGTGTCTTCACTACTCTTTCCTGACAAAAACCTCAGCCTCCACTGCAGATGAGAAAACTCTGTGAGAACGACTTCAGGATGTTTCTTGTAAGCAGCAAATTAATGAATATTGCTTTTCCAGTGGATTTGCATCCTGAAAGCTCAAATTCTCATCCTTAGCAGACTCCCATGATACCAACACCTTCCCTCACAGCTCCCCCCAACACCTGATTGTCTCCCTGGACCCAGCCACAGCCCCAGCATCGCTGCTGCTGTAGGAGAGCTGCTGGTGATGACCACCCTCTTGAGGAAGGAGGTGGCTGTGTGTCTCTCTTATTTACACAGTAGCTGACCTTCATGGAAAGCCTATAAGATCAGCGGTGTCTTTTCAAGTCCTTCTTTGAAATGCAGCTGGACAAGTTCAACAGTCACTGGGAAATCACAGTTTCCCCAGGGAAGCAGGTTAAACCTTGAGCTAAAGTGCCTGCCACTCTCTGGACCTGTGGGAAGCACTGTGAATTCTCCTGTTCAGCAAGCTGGCAAAGGGGACATTTCAGAAATAATTATGGAAACATAGAATGCCTTAGTTGGAAGATACCTTTGAGATCATCTATTTCCAGCCATGGGCAAGGATGCCTTTCATTAGACCAGGTTGCTCAGACCCCCATCCAACCTGGCCTTGAACACTTCCAGGGATGTGAAATAGTCAAGTTGCTTAGTACTTACCCTGCTTGTCTTCCAGGAAACCACAGCAAGAAATCACGCTGCTTTGTGGATGTTCCTCAGCAGCTTGCCATCTCCTGGTGAGCATGTCGCTGCTGGAGGTCGCAAAGCCACGACCACCCTCCGCCACAGGCTAGTAGCCATGGCACCAAGTGCCATCTTATCCTGGTACAGAACCTTGGCCAGGCTTCTCATCACCCTGTAGCTTACCTCTCAGATTTGTAGGAGTGGCGCTAAAGAACACTGGCAACCAGGATTTAATAAAAGTAATTAAAAGGCTGTTAATTATATGGTTGTTTTCACTGCTATTCCTAGATTGTCTTGATTAATGGTTGTCTTTTTTCCTCATGCATCATCCTGTGTGGTTAATTACACACCAGCCTGCCCAACGCAGAGAGCACAGCACAGCATGCCCTGGCTGGTGTGAAAGAACCAGAATATTTAAAGCAAGCCATACAGCTTGACTAAGAAGCCTTCATCTTATAGCATCATCACCACTGCCCCTTTCTGACTCCATCACACTGAAAACAGTGCACTATCTAGTGCTGTCCAACAGTAGAGACTATGACAACACTTAGACATCTTTTCTGAAAAACAAAAAATTTCTTTCCATAGCAAAAATCCACATTTTCCTCTTTTGTGCACTTCAGTAGTGATGATGATTGCAATAGCTGGGGATGGGGATGGAGAAAGTCAACTGTTAAAAGCCTATAAAACTTTAAAACAGAAAACTGTGACCTGGCATCTGTGAAGCTGGGAGCAACGGAGCAAAATCCATACAGAGATGTCAACTACAGAACAACCATGAGACATTTGTTAGTATCATCTATATTTACAATTATATACTCTGACATCTTTTTTTTATCTGTGAAAATGTGAAATGACCATGGAAAAGAAAAGAATGACCACAGGATGCATCTCCTGAGGTGTAGTTGTGAGACAAAGGGGAATGTGAATATCAAACTGCAAGGTTTTGCCTAGGCATCCTCTGAAACCTCAAATATTACTCTTTTCACCTGTACAGCCTGTGAGATTTTATATCTTTATCTTCTTTTTTATCTCTTAATCTCACTTTTACTATTTTTCATTGTGTCTTTATTTATTCTTCCACTGTGCTCTCTTGCCTCTCCTCTTCCATCCTCATGGCCCCAGCGCACTGCAGGCTGTCGTTCCCAGCAAATGGTGCTGATCCTCACTTCCCACTCTACCTGCAATTATTGCCCAGCAGGAAGCTGGACACCCAAATGGCAGAGAGACCTCCATCATGCAAAGAGACAGGTTTAAAAATGAGATTCAGACAACAGAAGCTCAGAGGAAGCCTCTGCTTTGGGCTGAGATCCTTGACATAGGAGAGTGCTGTGCAACGCAACAGTGCTGCTGCACTGCAACAAGGCAATGCAGCTGCATTGGCTCCTCCTTTTGAGAAACACCTTTCTGAGTGAACATGACAGGGTTGCCTATGACAGAAGAGGTTAGATGAGAGACTAAGGTAATCCCTTCCAGATGGAAGTTTATTTGCTACCTCTCGTATATCATCAGCACACACAGATTTGCAGTCTGGGACTTCATCATGACAAAACCAAAACCTTAGGTGTTATTACTTTGCTAGAGCTTTAAACTATCCTCTTGAATTTTACACATCAGTAGAGCAGAAATCCAAGCCTTAGAATTATACAGTCATCCTAAACTGTGCTATCACAGCTGGGAAGGGAGAACTTGTCTGCACCTGACCTCTTTTCAAGGTGTACTTGAACAACACTCAAAATTGAAGACGCTGTACCACCTAAACCCACAGAGAACTAAATTGTGGTTGAATACAGTAAAACCTGCCCTGCTGGAGATGGCTCCAATCCCTTACCCAATCACAGCAGTTTCAAGTGGTCCTGATGGATTCGGCAGGATCCGTTATCTGTCATCTATTTCAAGGGTAATCTCAGTGGATGTCATTGAAGGGCACTTCTTATAGAATCAGCTTCATTGCATGACTCCCTTTTTAGTTGCTGTGGGTCACTTGTAGTTCACAGTCATCCCTGTCATCCATATGTCTGTCTCAGCCTTGTGCATGCTAATAAGGGGAAAGACAATGCTGGATTGATTATCTTCTGCACAATGGTGTCACAACACCCTGTCAGCCTCACTGCCTGACTTTAGATCACAAACAGGCTCAGCAGCCACTTACAGGTGTCAGGCAGATAAACAGCTGGTTAGAGCTGTTAGAAAACCATGGAGGCTCTTTCCTTGCTATTGGCAAATGGCACTGGTTTGCTCTGCGAGCTTTTTCCAGCAGTGTTCATTCCTGAGGAACTCTTACCCCACCTGAGAATGCCCAGAAGGACCCATGGAATTTGCCAGTCACCTCTTGCTCACCTTAGAAAAGGTTGTTAATGGCCTGCACTTCTGTCCAGCCCACTGCCCTGGAGTTTTTCATCTCAGAAACAAATTAATCTAGGATATCTTCACACTTTGAAAAAAAGCCTCTATTAGAAATAGAAGCAAACTCTTAGGATACTCTTTCTAAATGCTGTTTCAACATGCTCTTGTTTGGGTTTTTCATAAAATTTTTACCAGATGTGGCTTTTTTCTTAGACAGTCCTTTCTCATGTTTCCTTTTTAGAAAATTAGGTGTCATTTAGCCGCAGTTTGTGGTAAAATATTTGTTTCCATTTCCTTTCATTTCATAAATATATTCACTTGTAATCCAGTTTGGAGGTTTTTGTTCTTTTTTTTATGAAAGAACGTGAAAAGAAGAAGGATGACATTGAAATGCGTCTCTTTATGACTGTTTCTTCTATTCCTATTTACTTACCTTGCTCAATATTAAAAGAACCCTGAGATAAAGTGGGTTTTGCATATCATTTGCCATTGGTTTTCCTTCTTTTTTGTTTTCTTCAGTTTTATATTTCCTCACCACCTACAAGAGATATGTGAATAAGACATCACCAAAAACCTTCTTTTTGCTTAGGCAGCTTGAACTCTTTCAGACTGAATTTAGCACAGTTTTTTGCTAACGTGCCTTGAGAACAGCAGTGATTCTACAAATACAAAATTTAAAGGCAAGATCTTTTTGGGGGTTAACAAGCATGGAAAATGCATAGCTCTCCTTCCTCTTGCACCCTCTGTAGTCATGTACAGAAATCCATGACTTTTGTTCGTTCACTGGTCAAAGATTCACTGGATAACAACTTACTGTTCAGTAATCTTTAAGCCATTTGCTGCCACTTACTGGATAACTAGACATCCTACTTCAAAAAAGGGGGAAAAAATAATTAGAAGTGGGTTTACAATGAAATTCAAAGTAGGCATCACCTTAAACCTGCGCCAGTGTAAGAAAAATGTCAAGGGCAAAATGAACATTAAAGTTGTTCCACTCAGTGGAGACGGGTTCTTCGTTAATGAGTTACAGCTATAAAATGCCTGTAAACTGCACCACCCCATTTCACTTCCTCCTCCTCTGCCCTGCATGAATCCCTTGGGAGTGGGAGAAGGCAATTGGAATACCAAAGCAAAAGGAGATTTACTGCATTTGCAGTAAATTGGAAGAATTGAAGATAAAGTAACACCTCCTTGGAAGAGAGGATACCTTTCCCACCATTTTCATTTATTTCCATGTGCTTTTATTTCCTGAGGATGCTAGTACTGACAACATTGCTATTTCCTCAATGAAATGAGATGTTAATTTTGTTTAGATGAATTTGGAGGGGTTTAATACTAGTTGCCATTTGAAAAGACATGCCTAAAAGAACATTAAAAGCTGCAAAGTGAAATATTTACAAACAACAGATAGGACTAAAAGGCCAGAAATGAGATATTGCATTTACACTATGGCTGTTCTTTAGTCACACAAGAACAAACTATTTTGCTGGAATTGGTGCCCAGCTGGGAAGGGGAAGGTGAGGCACATGAACATTTGATTTATCCCCAGTTTTAAGTCTCCCTTCCCTTGCCTCCTACACACTACTGAGACCCTTATCTGAAGGAAGAATTATTAATCTGTTCCCAGGCTGTCCTGAAGAAGCGTTATCCTATTATCCAAGTAGAACACAACCCCAAATTAATTTGTTTTTCACATTGCCTCTAAGAGAATTGCTGTGAATTTCTCATTTCACAGCTGACAGCTGAGATGCAGTCAGAGATGTCCACAATATTTTCATGAAGGAAGCAGCCAGCTCTCAAGCAGGCAGTCTGGCAGAGTGAAACACTACCAGTAGCCACTTTGGAAAAGCTTGATTTTAGCAGCTTGTCCAAAATTTCTGTGACAGAGCCAAGGACAGAGCACAGTTCTGAATTGCAACACCTGTTTTCTTGGCTATGCCTCTTTAGCTCCCTGGATAACATGGCCAGGGTCCAAGCACTTCCACCAGTCAATAAACCTGATCCATCCCCAAAACAAGCCTATGATGTCCATCAGTTGAGATGGGAACTCAGGACAATACCAAGTGATCAAATATTTAATACTTCCAGTCTGGATATCACTAGCCAGATTTTGGGGTTGGAACATAAAACCTTCAGCAGCCTGGAAATCTTCCTGACAGGTCAGGAGATGCCAAATCCTGCTTTCTGGAGGAACAAACCAGTTGAACTGGGTAAGCGGAGAAGATCTTAAGCCAGTTATATTTCCCCAAGTCATTCCCATTTATGACCACCTTTTAATGAACTACAAAGTACAAAGACTGCAATATGAATAAAAGAGATGACATTGTTGTTCAGTGTTTCCTGTTGCACAGAGGGACTTAAGGTATAGAAAAAGATGCTTCACACTCATGGTGTGACCACTAACCAACCCATTCCTCTCTACTGCTTTCTGACTTTCTCACCAATTCTCCCAGCATTTCTAATAATAATTACATTTAGGTGGTTTTAGGAGCAGAAAATGCTGGGAAATGGATAAATGAGAAATCTTGCTAGTCATCAGGGTCATCCTGTAACACCAAAGCCGTATTTAGTTTTATAAGCACTCAATTTACCTAGGCACAGTGTTAAGAAACGGCAAAAAACAAAGCCTTCTGAAGCTGAAGGAAGTGTAAGCTAGCACAAACTAGACTTCTCTCAGCCTGGTTTACATCTCTCACCTCCATAAAGAAGAAAAGCATTCACAAGTGGGGCATAATCAGGGAAGTAGCCTCCAGGGCAATCACACCGAACTTATTCATTAGTTGTTTCATTTATTCATTGTATAGTCTTTTTCTAAAGAAAAGCAAACCCAACCACGTGGCGTTTTGCTGTGTGTGCTGTGCACACAGTGGCAATGGACCAGCTAAGGAGTGATGTCCCAGCTCTCTTCCACTGCCTTCACAGCTCCAGGGAAAAGCTTCTCCAAGGAGCAGGGAGGTGTCTGCTGCCTCGCCTGCACTGCCGGCACAGGCAGGAAGGCAGGAGGAATGCTGCACTGTGGCTTGGAAGCAGGAGAGATGGGGAGATAGCAGCAGCTGCCCCTGGGTTTGTGGGGTGAGGGAGTTCCCTTTTCCTCAGTCTTTGGAATGTGCTCAGCCTGGGCTTTGAATACATTTTACTCAGGGTGGCTGTTTGGAGAGAAAAAATTCCACGTTCTCTGAGGATAGAAGTGGTTTTTGAGCTTTTCCTGAAGGCACAGCTGTCTTCAACATAGCTGCTGTCCTGTTTCTAATAGTATAATGGACTAGGTATTACAAGTTTTGTTGTCTGCTGGCTGCAAAGTAAGTGGCACACTTTCTACTCACTACATGGGATGCTGCATTTCATGCCTTACTTTACACTGATCTCACTCACAGCATGATCAGAGCACTCTGAAAAAAAATTTAAAAATTCAAACACTCAGCCCTCCTAAATAATCTCCTATTTACATTTTTTTGCTGTTTTAAAAGTAAATCTTGAGTGAAAATACTGCAACTCTACTGAGCTTTAGCTTTTGTTTCTGCCAAGGATGTAGCAGATAAATTACTCCCAGTGAGGAGAGGCCACGGGTTGTGAGGGGAACAATATGTCCATTGCGACTCCCCCTCTGACATTTCCTTAGGAAGAGAGTTCTGCCAGCAGATGCCAAAGGTAAACCCTACCATATGCCTGACACCACATCCACCTGGTTAACATATTAGTATCAAAACAGAAAAGTCAGCACATAATAATGTACAGACATACAAAGACAGAAAAAACCTAACTGGTCAGGAGGCTCTCTGTGCATCAGCTATGTTTAAATTTCAGATTAATATGCAACTGCAGTAGCACAGAGACTCAGGGACCACAGGAAGGATGCATTACCTACAGAAATCACATGCAGTACTGGTGTTTAGAAGCCTGAGGGAGTTGGTTTCTGCTGTGCTATCACACATGCCACAAGAAACTATTTCAAAACCACATGAGGTCTGACACCACAGCCTGTCCTCCTGCAGCTCAGGCACTGGTGTGAGTGCTTGGCTTTATTAAAACTGCAGACATCAAACTGGCTGCCATATCTGTCCAACTGTGTTTAAAAACCCCCTGACAGTAGAAGGTCAGCACAAACTAGGTTGGATACAGCTCAGGCTATGGACGTGCTATGAGCACTGGATGCAAGCTGCTTCAAAGCCAGAAGCAGATGCATTCAGCCTTTCCCAAAAGGAGCTTAAAAGCCAGATGAGAAGGTGGATTCAGCCTTTTAGCTGCTCTATCTCAACGTGTGGCCAGCAGGACTTGAAGTCAAAGCTGTGTCTGAAAGGGATCCTGCTGCTGGGCCGTGCACAGCTGGTCCGTGCAGAGCAGCACATCTGTGCAGCCAGAGCTGGCAGAGGGGCACTGCTGCGGGTACTGGCAGCCAGGACACACACACCTGCCATCCCCGAGGCCTCCAGACCTCTGAATGTGGCCCTGGGTTTCTGTGTACCTGGGACACGGGGCGGAGGAGAAATTTCACAGAAACAGGACAGCAATGTGTTTTGTTAAGCTGCATGACTGAGAACGGGCTGTTTGTCTGGTGTTTTCTGCTCGAGATCACAGCTCTCCTCCAGCAACTGCTTTCCTTTACTTCTAGGTGTATTGGCTTGACTGTAACAAGCAAAATAGAAACAGAAGTTATTGGTTCTCAAAACAGTCTCCTTCTGCCTAATTTGCACTTCTGGGTTTTGCCTTTTAAAAACTTTTTCCATCACAACTTGTGTGTATTCTCTTTTTCACAAATACTTGTGCATATATTCGTATATGTGTCCAAACACACAAATACAAACACTCACACACATATTCCCTATAGCATGCACTAGACTGAAAATGTTAGTTCTTTAATACTTGAGTATATAATGTTCTGTTACAGTTCATTAATACCAATCTTACTTTTCTCAGATTAGATTTTTAAATTTCTCTTCGTTGTAATTTCTGTTTAGTTTTAAAATACCAATAAATAACCAAAACCCAGTGGGAGCATTGTATATGTCTTCCTCTATTCATTTCATCTCCTTTAGAGGAGTAAAATATCTTTGAAATGCTTGAAATGTTTCAGATTTTGATTGCTATTTGTTGCTTTCTCCTTTTTTTTTTTTTATTTTGCCCAAGACTAATTCCATTTTGATTGTCTTCCATAAAAAAGTAGACTCATCAGAATTAATTTTTTTAAAAAATATATGATTATACATATTTCCTCTATGAATCAATTAATATGAAATAATTAATTGATTATTTCTACAAGTCAGCAATTAATGAAAATGTTTTGATAGCATTATGAATCTGAGAATTAATATATTGATTGACCAACAGGTCACACACCATTTCAGTATTCTTCTACCTGAGCCTTTACATTGAGAATCAGAGTTTTACTCTAAGAATTAGATTTCTGCTGTAGATTTGTGCTGTTACACTTTTTGCAAAAATTCTTGTCAGGATAGATCTACTTCTTCAGTTATTTACAGGCCTCAGATTTCAAAGGGAAAAGTGTAAGACAAATATGTGGCTATTTGTGTCTTTAAGTCTTTCTTTACGAACATGTTTTAACACAGAACATTCATCTGATAACCACTGACTTGCACTCCCTCATGTCCTTGATCTTGATGTTTCCTGTTGATAAATCACTTCCACTGTGGGACTCTGACAGCACCCCTGGGTGCTCCAGCTTGGACAGAGTCTCTGAGACCACATCAGTGTATAAAGATGGGGTGTCCTCCCTCCTTGGCCAGTCCCAGCTGCCTTGCTGCATGTCAGGCAGCCTCCAGACCCTGGCTAAGTGTGTGTTTGCACAAGAACTCCTTGAATTCCTCCTTCTATGGGTGACTCAGATGACAGGAATTCAGCCTTACTGTAATTCATGCTCAGTTGCCTTTAGAATTTGTCCCTTAATTAACTGATGCATGCAAGAAACCTGTTCTCCTAGCTATTCAAATAGTGGCTATGCAACATTAATCCGTGGACCTTTACTGTATCAACAGTCACCAACACAAATTATTTCAGCTACCTGACTTGGATTATTTTGGATAGAAGTGAAGTTCCTCTGCATAAAGAAACATTGTTTCAAGCCCGTCTCTCCTTTGAACACAAATACAGATTTAAGGCAAATTTAAGACAGTTCCCAAAATGTCATGGGACACTGAAGTTTTTGCATCCCAAGACAATCAGCAGTTATCTCAAAGAACAAACAGCTCTATTTTCTAGAGCTGACCTTGTGGGAGCATTTACTAAAACATGTAGCCCAACCCCAAATAGTGAGTATCAATACAGCCAGATAATAAACATAGGTCTCTTCCTTCAGGACTGGATTTTTCCTCTCCTCCCAGCCTCTGCTTTTGTACAGTGTCAATGAATACTGTTAACCACACATCCTAGTTAGTTCTAGAAAGGACTGCATTTCATTTATGAAAAGCATGCAATGTTATGGTTTTATGTTATCTTTTTTTCTCTGACAAAGCCTGACAGGCCTGTCTGCCCCACCCCCATACACTGCTCCCTGCTGCCCTGGCAATTGTGCCAACAATGATTGTGAGCCTGGCAAACCAGATCAGTGAGCCCATCTTCTAACTGCCCTAAAAAATCTCCAAAAAAAAAAAAAAAAAAAATCAAAACAAAACACACCCAGAGCTGCAGTGCTGCAGTGCTCACAAAGAAAATGTAACATGAAACTATGGCCTCTCTCAACCCCTCCCTCAAAATAGTCTCAGTTCTTTGATGAATAAAATACACTAAGTTTTCTCACTGCAGCTGTTTTAATTCTAGTTCAGGATGGAAAATGTCAGCACATCAGGTTCTTATAAAATAATAGAAAATCCATTTCCTTTTTGGGGTCAATTAAACAATTGGTGTTTTCTCAAAGAAGCAAAACAATATTTTTAATGGCAAAAAATTAAAATAGTGACTCTCAGTGGTATTCTTCAACCCTTTACTTTTTTTTTTCCTCAAGACTTTCCTTTTTCCTTTCTTTTGTTTGTCTTGTGGATGGAAAGGAAAATTTGAAAACATGAAAGCTCCCTATCGGACCTGCCTTATCTCATCTTGAGGGTTTCCTTGTCTTGGGCAGAGCTGAAGCTGGGTGGAAGCCATGTACCTCCAGCCACTCCCTTGCTGCCTCCTGAGCAGCCAGGGACAGGAATACTGGCATCTCACAAAGAACCAAGCACAGAAAGGCCTGAAAATCTTCTCACTTGCCATCAGTGACTCTTTGCATCAGTGGAACAGTGCTCTCCTGTTTTGGATGAAAAAGCTCCTTCAGTTATCTTACTCTCCTAAAATAATCACAGGTTAACTCCATGCCTCTGTCCTCCAGAGTGTCCTGGTTACAGCCCCTCTCTCCCAGCCTCCAGTACATTTTACCACCTCCACAGAACTGTATGTCCATTTACTCATTCACCAGAGATCACCAGGCACCAGGATATCCACTTGCCCACTCCACCTTCCCTTGAAAATAACTGCAAACCCTGGTCAATCTTCATTGAGCCCTTAGGCAGAGAACAGAAAACACGGAAATGCCAGATGCTGCACATACCCACACCCTCCATCCATCCACTGGTCACTCAGGGTGTCCAGCATCCCTGATTGGAACCCATTCCCACTCTGCTCCCCTAAACTTCATGACTTTGGGCAGCCAGTTGCCTGCCATGGCTCTGAAAAGATACACTGCAAGCAGAGGCACAGATTCATACGAGCAGTTTGCAAATCTGCACATTAGTTCATTCCAAAATGTTTGTAAGACATCACATGTGGAGCTGTGAAAGATTTAGCAGCCAGATAAGCAGTGACAGCCTGCCTACACTGGCAGCTGGAGCAACAGGACCAAGGAAACAGCTTTGGCCGTCTTCACTCTAAAACTGATGCCTCTTCAGGTGTGGACAAAGATTTTGTGTGTGAGTTAAGCCCAGCATAGGCAAGGGGCAAGTAGGATACACCAAAGTCCAAAGTAGGGAGTGCACTGGGCTTTGTTTTGCTTTAATTCAGGCATGCTGAACTTGGTTTTCCATGGTCGTGATTCTTCAAAGTCGTCCTCGCTCCACCTGGTTCTGTGTAAGGAAAAAAAGAGACCCAAAGGTCAAGCTTTTCAATGTGAATCCCAGAACAAGGATTTCTGCATGAAAATGACAGAGTTTGGAAGTACATCAACATGGAAATGAGGACCTTTTACCTTCCAACAAGACAAAAACATCTTCCAGAGAAATATTTAACTGCCTTTGCCTTCAGACAGCCATTCCGATGCGAATGAGGATGTGCTTATTTTGGCAAGACTCTCCTGAACTGAGTGTTTTGTGTGTGGTTAGGAGTGTCAGATGAAGGCTCAGTAATTTGCTAGTGGATCCTTGAGGTAAGCAGTTCTTGGGAAGAGGCTGACTAGACAGCCAAAATGTAGGTCACCAGTGGGTGGAGTTCATAACCTCCCAGCACGGCTGCAGTCAGTATGCAGAAGTTACATCTCCCACAGATTTTGAAATTATTGATGAAGCCTGAAAGCTGGGCCACTAACTATAAGTCCTTAGGATGATAATTTAATTGGTTACTCATTTGTGTAAGATGCTGTTTAATGTCCACTCTGTTCCCAGATTATCTGCCTTCCATGTGCAAGGACATAGGTGTTACTCTACAGTGTTTAAATGTAAATGCAAATATTGATAACACAGTTGAAGACTATTAGTCTCATTTTCAAAATGTCTCCTTTCTATCACACTCATGGCAGTTCAGAGCAATCTTTTGGGTCCTCAGCTTCAATGGCCATTCAATTTGCAGGGCTTTGCAGCAATGATTGGCGAGAGCCATGGAGTCTCAGTTGTCTGGCCAAGCATTCAGTGAGAGCAGTCAGGGGAGAGCACTAGTTTCTCAAATGGCCCTTTAAAATCAGCTCTATATAGCATTGTACTAGTTTTTATTATTCTTGCTGCTTATTTTTCAGAAAAAGAAAAAACAACCCTCAAACCTTAATAACTGTTCTAAACAAGAAGCCAGAATAACAGGCCCTTTTATGTTTGCACACACCCCATAGCTGCCTTAACTCCAGGCTAAACCACTGCTGTATATCTGCATAATCTTAAACCTTAGCAAATTAGAAAATAAATACATGTGCATGCATTTGAAATAGCACTTACTCCTCCAGGCTTTATCTCTCTATAACTGCTGAAATTGTCTGACAAGAATATTGCTTGAAGTCTTATCACACAGATCTGTGGCAAAAAGGTTTCAGCAGTTTGCAGTGCAGATGTACCATCAGGACTGTCACCAGGATACTTTGGAGGGATTTGTAAAAACCAGCTGTCCCTGGAGGAGATTGCTGCAGGAGCAGAGACCTCCTCTGCATGTGCTAGCTGCACAGACATGGAGTTACTGCATATGGACCTCTGAAACATCAAATATCAGAATTCCTGCCTAAAATCCAGTAGCTAGTTGGAAAGTGGTCTGAGTGATGTGTCCAGGAGGTGTAATGATATGACTCACAAAGCAAAGCTAGTGAGGATATCTGGTGCTGGAAGTTTAAACAAGCAAGACTTTAATTCTGACCAAGTCATGTAAACAAAAGCTTTTGCCATACTGCTTCATGTTTGTAGGTCTTCTACCCTGTGGGAAAAGGGTTAAGGATTGTAGAAAAAGATATTTCATATAAAGAAAGCACTACTGGCACCACCAGCAACCCTACATCAGGGTATATTCTGATGTGTATGCCTGTCCTTGCTGCTGTCTGTGAATGGTCTGAGTTGGCTGAGTTAGGCACAATCATCTATCAGAATTGGCCCCTTTGAAGGGCGGGGATGTGCAGTTCCTGAGACCAAAGATGGAAATAAAATAGCAACAATGTGGCCAGCATAGGCTAGGCAAAGAGGGCACCTAAGAAATTTTACAGGTAAAAATTTCTTCAGGTGTCCCAGAAGAGTAGATACTGTGGGATGAAGTAGGTTTGCTGCCACTTGCACCCAGGAGGTCAATTCCACCAGGGCTGCACATTAGGCATCTGATTGCTTTTCTGGACTGGGCTGTATAGAGAATTTACACGAGAAATCTGAGGTAGAGGAGGAGATCTGTCTCTGATTTTCCAACTCCCAGTTCAGTGCCTTAACCACAGGTGCCACTTCCTGCAGTGGCCCTGAGCTCATAGGGATGCTGGAGTTCTTCCAAACTAGCAGCGATACCAGAACGGAAATAGGCTCTTTCAGCACAGAACAAACAAGAATAGTCCATAAATGCTAATGATACAATTTAAGTGTCACTGTGTTCAATGAACTCAGCCTTTCACCTCCAAATGCTGGCAGCTGAAGTTTCTTTTGTGTAAGATCAAACATTACTTTAATGGTCTTTGTCTCAGTAATCTATTTTAACACTATGGTTAATATCTGACAATTATGCTAGATTAGCATCAAAGACTAATGGAAAGATTGAGGTAAATATACTCAGAATAGTGTGGTTCAACATAAAGATGTTTGCTGTCAAAGAAAGGTTTTCTATTATAAACAAGTGTGTTACTATTAGCATTGCTGTGTAACATCTAGGAGCAAGTGAGCCCTTTGCTACTTCCAATGTCAAGTAACTAAACAACACAAAACTTAAGGTTTTAAACGTAAAAAGTCTTGGGAAAAAAAAAAAAAGTAGATTAAAAAAAGAGGAAAACCCCACAAATTTCTGCCTCTTCTTGCTTTCCCATTGTGATCCCAGTCTTTGTTTGTAGTTGCCCTGCCTGTACATTCAGTACATGAATGGCCAGACAAAGATTAAAGCCAACAGGATCAGGTTTCATAGGATGGTCTGGTATACCTAAGGAATTATGGAAGTGTGAGACGAGATACAGAAAGGAATTTAAACCTCAATGAAAAATTACAAGAAAGAAGATCTTCTGCCTGAAAAAACACAGTATGAAAAAAGAGGATACGCAGATTTTATTTATATATGCATGCTCCATTAAAATGACACTCATTGAAATATATCATTAAAAATGACCCCAAAAGTTCAAGGTTCCTTAACTAATGATGATTCTATCTCACAAACTGCAGGCACCGAAATACTGCACAATTTCTACTGAGCTGTGCCCAAGAAGTTACTGTGACAGTACACACATAATATTTTAAGCACAATATTCCATAGCGGTGTTTGTTAAAAAAGCATTTTCTGCTGTTTCCACTGCTTATATTTCATGAAAGGCTAAGCAGGAATCATAGTTGTATGTACAGATACTGAAGCTCTGGACTGTGGCCATATAATGGATTTCCACTTCTGCCTTACGATGTTTTGATGAGTACACAGGCCTATTATTTTTCTGTGTTACTTACTAGCAAGCAAATCCCACAGTACTGGGACAGATCTTTGACCTGTTGTTTACCACAATTCTTCAGAAGCTATTTAATGAATGCATTATATCACATCACTAATGCAGGATTTCCAGTGTGCATTGATGACTTTCAGCATTCAACCTGTGGCTTCCAGACTCTCAGTGTGATGATTTAGCTGTTACTGGGGACTGTGATGCTAAGGCTGACACATTGCACCTGCTTTGTAAGTGGATTTCACAGAGACACAGAATCACAGAGGTCTTCCATTCCAACCCCCTGCTCAAAGCAGTCACCCAGAACTGGTTTCCTAGCACAATGTCTCTTTGGGGTTTGAATATCTCCAAGGAAAGACTCCACAACCTCTCGTGCCAGCCTGCATCAGGGTTTGATCTTCCTCACAGTAAAGAAAGTCCTTTCTTATATTTAAACAGAGTTTTTCGTATTTCAATTTGTGCCTATTTCCTCTCATCCTTTCACCAGATACTACACATAAGGTTCTAACTCTATTTTTTGTTCTTATGTCTTTTTATTATGTTTTATGTCATAATACAATATGTCATAATGTTATTATGTGAATATTAGACATTAAACTACTATCTTTCGTGTCATAATATTGGTCCTTGTTATATTCCCCCATCAGGTATTTTTCTGCATTGATAAGCCTCACCCACTTATTTACACAATTTGTTTGCTTTCTCTCTAGGGCCTTGGTGGTTTCCTCAATGCTGGCCCTAACTCCAGAATGCAGCTGACCTCAAGACCCATCCTTTCTCCTTAAAGTTACTTGAATGCATTGATGCTACGTGGAACAGCTGTACTGTCCTTATAAAGACATTGCAAGACCAAATTTCAGGAATGACATGGTGAATAAGAAAACACTGTTTTAGCTACGTTTCTTCTTCTGCTCACACTGAAGCCCATATGCCTTTTAAATGCAGAAAAGGAAACTGTCTTCTCCTTTTGGCAAGTCCTGTAAGAAAGGTTCTGTGGGAAGGAAAAGAACAAGAGATGGAATATAGATGCCACTTCATCATGCTTTCAAGCACTTGGCCCTGGGAAGAAATCCAATCCATGTGACATATTGCTCTGTACAATCACTGCAGAGTAATCAAGTTCAGACACTTCCCCCTCTCCTCTGACAACATACCACAGGCACCGTGTGCACCCCAGCAGCAGCTCAGTCTGCTTGGGTATGTGTTTTCCTTCTTTCACAGACAACATACAGAATTTGGGAAAACGTTATGCCCCTTCATCCATTTGGAATCTTGTCCACAGAGCCTCCTTCAAGGACAGGTGCCAGGAAGGTTACACTTACACAGTTACTGTCCTTGAAAGTACAGGAGTTAGAGGTTGTGTTTTCAAGAGCCTGTGTAGTCCACAGACTGAACCTCATGTCACAAAAGAGCTTTAACCAGGTCTTTAACCAGTTCCATCTGGGGAACACACTCATGGCTGATCTTTGGAAGCCAGACAGCAACTGAAACCTGTGGGACCTGTAGAAGCTGGTCAGAGGGATCCTCGTGATAGCCTGGAAACTGGGCTGCTTTGCTTATGGCAAAGCAGAACTGATGTTCAGGTGCTGCTTTCTGCATCAGACTCCTTACTGTGGGATGAAAGATTGCCTCTTTTCTGCCACTGACATGATGTCCTGTTCTGCAAACACATCAATCTTTTAAAAACTGACAGCAGCCTCCAATTCCCACCTCCAGCTGTCACTGCTTTGGCTGTGAAGCTTCCTGGCACGGTACTTGAGAGGCTTC